GACACTTCTTGGGTCACACCAGCCAAAGTGTGTTTCTGCTTTTTTCCAAAAATACGTTGCTGTAGATATATTTGCCAGTATTGTTTTGGGAGTGAGTTACAGTTTATGGAAAGTTCTACAGTTAGTAAAAGGTTTCTGGTCATGTTGAAACCAGACAGAACTTCGGTGGTCGGGAGACACATGACACACAGCCTCTGTCAGGGTGAAGACAATCATTCTGCACCTTCATTGATGCTGAAGCAAAAGCAGGTTCCTTCCCAGCAGCCCTCACTCAGTAATGATGCTTCATAGATTTGCTTGTTTTTTGAAATCCTCACCCAAGGATATTTTTTTTCCAGTGCTTTAAAGAGAGTGGAAGGGGGAGAGAGAGAAACATTGATGTGAGAGAGACATCAATTGGTTGCCTTTTGCATGAGCCCTGACCAGGGCCTGGGATCGAGCCTGCAACCAAGGTACATGCCCTTGGCCATAATCGAACCTGGGACCCTTCAGTCCGCAGACTGACGCTCTAACCACTGAGCAAAACTGGCTAGGGCGTAGGTTTGTTTTTTTTAAATACATTTTTTAATTGACTTCAGAAAGAGGAAGGGAGAGAGGGAAAGAGAGAGAAACATTAGTGATGAGAGCCATTGATCAGCTGCCTCCTGCATGCCCTTGTTGGGGATCAAGCCACAGCCAGGGCATGTCACCTGACCTGGAATTGAACTGTGACCTCCTGGTTCATAGGTTGATACTCAGCCACTGAGCCATGCTGGCCATGCTGTTTTTTTGTTTTTTTTTTATGTAATACTTTTTAATTGATTTTAGAAAGAGGAAGGGAGAGGGAAAGAGAAATAGCAACATTCATGAGAGAGAAATATTAATCGGCTGCCTTCTGCACACCCCCTACTGGGCATTGGCCTACAACCTTGACCAGGTATCCAACCGGCCATCTCCTGGTGTATGGGACCGGCTCAACTACTGAACCACACCTGCTGGGCTACAGCTGGTTTATGATGCAAGCCCTGTGAAGACACAGGGCGGGCCCTTTGCTGTGGCCTGTTTATAGACTGGTTCTGCCCTCTGCCTGCAGGCTCTGGAGTTCAAGGTCTGTAGACTGCGCCCGTCTGCGCGGTCCCTGGTGTGCGGTGAGCACTGGAGCAGTGAAGCCAGCCGGCGCTTTGCCACCCTGGTCAGGGGCCGTGCACTGCTCGTCAAGGTCTTCTCTGTGGTGCACAGCGTCCTGCATGTGGATGTGTACCTGTCCTCGGGGCTGCAGGACTTTGTCAACGTCAGGGACGTGCTCATCGAGGAGGGCCACGCTGAGCTGGCAGAAGAGTGCTATGAGTCCCGGGTACTCAGAGGTCCCTGTTGCGGGGTGGATGTGTGTGCAGGCCTGGGAGGGTGCAGAAGGAGGGGGCATGTGCGTCCCTGTGTTAGGACCACAGGTGCCGTTTTCTGTCAGCTAGGTTTCTTTGAGACTAAGTTATGGTGACTGGGTGGTGTGTGTTGGTTTCCCATGGTTAACCTATTTTTTCTTCCTGGAATGGAAATTAGAAGAGAAGATGTTCTCTATTTGGTGAGTTTTTTCTTTTGCTAATCCTCACCTGAGGATATTTTTCCCCCAATGCTTTTTCAGAGAGAGTGGAAGGCAGGGAGGCAGGGAAGCAGGGAGAAAGAGAGAGAAACATTGATGTGAGAGGGACCCATTGACTGGTTGCTTCCTGCACAACCCCCTACTGGGGTTGGGGAGCGAACCCCCAACCCAGGTATGTGCCCTTGACCAGGAATTGAGCCCGAGACCCTGGTGCTGCATGTGCTGGCGCTCTAATCACTGAACCACACTGACCAGGGCCTGAGGAGTGTATTTTAAATGGATTCCAAGATTTATCTTCTCAGTGTAAGCAATTAATAAAACATTTATTATGAGTATTTCAAACATTTAAGATGTCTTTCAACTCTTGCTTTTCAAATCGGTTCTGCAGCTGCTTCTCTTGGTCTGAGGGTTCAGAGGCCCCTGCTGTTGAAGGTGGGATTCAGAATCACAGTTCGTCCTGTGATTTCTGTGGGGGTGCTGGGGTGGGCAGATATGAGAGAGAGCTGCCAACTGTCATTTCCATCTGTGAAAAACACTTCCAGCCCTCGTAACATTCCCTGTGAAGCAAACATCTTATGTACAGAAAGCTCTTCAAAAAGTGTTTCTCACTCCTCAGTGCTCAGACGGTGGGAAGGTAGTGAGGCTAACGAGCCGAGCCCTTGTGAAGCGGTCTTACTTCTTGTGTTTGAATTTAAAATGCATATGATAAAGTTACCTCCTGACACCTAAGTTTGCCAGAGATCAGCTCGGGGAAGGTCATACATAAAACATACTTTGATTAGTTTGGAATAAAGGGATTTTAATACAGATTTTTCTTTTAGTAAAACAAACTTTCATTATTTTGTTCAGCAAAGCCATGAAGCTCTCAAGGGTCTCTTTTCCAAATCAGTAGAGCCTGGGACAGACATATGTGCACCGCCCCCCGTGAAGGACAGTGAGAGGCACCTTATCCGGATCCTGCTGGACAGCTTCTCCTCCAATAAGCTTGGGGCCCCAAACCACAAGGTAAGACCTCAGCTCGCTCTGTGGACCTCTGTGCAGGGCACATGCGGGGCGTGGGCACTGCTGTTCTGCTCTTAGCACTGGGCCTTTCCTCATGAGGGAGCCTGGTGAGCAAGAGGAAAGCCTGGGGTTGGTTTGCTGTAGGGAAATACTTGGATTAGTCTTTTTTGAACCAACCTTTCCAAAGGCGAGCTGGCCTGTAGGGGGAAGGAACAGCACAGCTCTGGTTTCCTCCTGCCCACCTGTTTGGAGAGGGACTGGCTGGGCTGTCCTTTCCCTGTCTGTCAGGGACTCAGCTTCTCCTGCACCCCCGTGCTGTGGCCTCTGCCCGCTCATCCCACAGGCTGGTCTCCTATAGCAGGAAGACGACTTGGACTGACACGATTCCAGTGCCGCCTTTTGGGCACAGGCTCTGTGCCATGTAGTGAGTGAGGCCAGTGAGACCGTGGGTTCCAGAAAAGTCCTGTAAGGCAGTTTTCCTACCAAGGCTCAAAGACATGATGACAAAGACATAGCTTTTTCTTTTTTAAAATATGAGCTGATTTTTGGGCTTTTAAGTGTGTGTTAAGTGGTATCTTGCCCTGTGTAATGTTCTGTATGTTGTGTGTGTACAGGCGATACTTCATGGGCCTTTCAACCCTTATGAGCTGAAGTGTCATAGCTTGACGCGAATATCCAAGTTCAGGTATGATTCACTTACGTTTTTCATGAAATTTTACTTTTGCTTCTGTGTTTACAGAGCTTGTCAGAAGCAAATCTCTTTCTAAAGTGTGGGCTCATGTTGCCTTTTCTCACTGCTTCTGACTTCTCTCCCAGCTCAATCTGACCCTCCATCTGAAAGCCATTCTGTGTAAGATGTTTGAGTATCTTTCATCAAAGACTCTATGTTTTCTGTTATTATCATCATTGTTACTCATTCAGCAAACCTGGGGCTGCCTGCTGCATTCTGAGGACTGCACAGTGCAGTCAGTGTCCTCCCAAAACGACAGGTCTGGCATGAGGTGCTCAAGAGAAGGGTGGTTATACAGCAGGTTGATGAGGGCCTTGTGGGGCCACAAGCACTGTGAAAGAACCTGGCGGGGGGCACCCCTCAGGGAGGATTCCAGAGAATTCGAGGCCTCAGGACGGAGAGTTGCCTGAGGTGTGGGTGGGAGGAGGTGAGGGCCAGGTGGAAATGGTCCAGTGGCAGGGTTGGGCCTTCATGGGAGAGTCTTCACTAAGTGGAGGTGGGTGGAGGGTCCAGTGGGAAGCAGAGGGGCTGCAGAGCTGGTGCCAGGTGGGGGTGCCAGTGGGAATCCCTGCTGTGCACATTTCACTGTGGTCACTCTGGCTGCAAGGGAAACGCTGGCTTCTCAACGCCTCGGACCAGCAGTGCAGGTGTCCCTGGGAGCTCATTAGACGTGCAGAGCTCCCTGCCTGGGCCTGCTGGCTGAGACCTGCATTTCCAAGCCGTCTCCAGGTGATCTGTGGCACTTTACAGTTTGCATTGGATTTAAAGGCAGAAGGGTCTCAGAAAGGAATACCCTTCAGAGGCTGGTCTCTGTCACCCAGGGTGGGAGCGTGTGGCTGCACTGAATCCAGGACAGACACTGAACCCACCACTCTCCCAGAGCTTGTGGGTGTGGCATCGACATGAGAATGGGGGGTGGGGGTGAAGAGGAGGTTGCCCTAGCTCAGCTGTGCAGGACCTCTGCCAGAGGTGAAGGAGAGCTGGGTGGACCACTCAGAGTTTCCACGGCACATCCCTCTCTCGGGTGACCTGCCCCAGATGGAGGTGGTGGCCATCACAGCTTAGGAGAAGGGACAGAGTCTGGGGAAAAGTAGAGATTGGGGCGTTGTCAGCGCATGGGTGATACCTGAAGCCAGGGTGTGGTTGAGATCATGTGGGGGTGTGGGAGGGAGAAGGGGCAGCTGCAGGACTCGGGGTGAAGGGCTGGTGGTCGGGGGGCAAGGAGGTGCAGAGGACGTGGATGGCAGCGTTCGGCAGTGTTCATCTGTTGGTCACTGCCTTTGTGCGGGTGACCCTGTCTTTGGAGAGGACCCGTCACGGGACGGCACCCCATGAAGTGCAGGCAGCACCTGCAGCGTCTGTGCGGCCTCCTTTCAGGCGCGTTTGGATCGAGAAGGAGAGCATCAACTCTGTGGCCATCAGCGACACCCCCGAGGACCTCCACCAGAGGGTGCTGGTGGCAGCTTCCCTCTCAGTGAACGCAACTGGTGAGCGGAGCTGTTGGCTCTCGCGTGCTCTTCTCTTCCCTCGCTGCTCAGTTACGAGCACCGTCTGTCCTGAACTCATGGACAGGTGTATGTGTCCGGGCTGTTTTCTGAGTGATAGGCTGGGGCAGGTCTGAGAAAGGGAGCATTGGCCCCTTCCTGTCATGCAAGGCTGCGGACAGCAACTCCTCACTCTCATTCATTCCTTGTTTACTCACTCCCTGCACTTGGCTACAGAGAGGAACAGTCCGAGCTTGTGGTCCTGCACAGAGCTGATAGCCTAACGGGGGAGGGAAGGAGGGAACAAGGAGAGGTCCCCCGAGACTGCGTGCAGGTTGAGCGTGTGACAGGAGTCTGTGGGGTGCAATGCGAGACAGCAGGGAGCACTCTGCTGCGGGGCGTCTGTGGGGCCAGGTCAGCGGAGTCTGGGCTGGAGGGGGAGTGACTCCACACAGTGTGATCACAGGCCTGTCTGCAGGGTCCACTATGCTGCTGAGGGAGACCTCCCTGCTGCCACACATCCCCGGCCTGCCAGCCCTGCTCAGCATGCTGTTTGCACCGGTGATGGAGCTCAGGTACCACAGGCTTCCCTAAGATGAAGACCAGGCGGGAGGAACGGGTGCCTCTTCTCCTCTTGGGGAGAAGGCAGTTATCGAAAACCCGGCTGTGAGGCACCTGTTGCTTGTTGGTGCCCCTGTGCTGGTGGACTGAGGAGCCTTTGAGATCATGGGTGGTGCTGTGCCTGACCCAGGCAGAAAGCAGCTCAGGGGCCCAGGAAGATACACACAGCATCACATGGGAGCTTGAGTGAAACAGGGCACAGGAGACGGGGGGCGGAGCCAGGAGCGAGGCTCAGACCCCACGGCGATGCCACGCTGTGGTTGCTTAGTGGGCTTGAGAGTGGCTCTAAGTTTTCAGCAGGAAACCTGACCAGTGCATCTCAGGGTAGTGACTGTGAGGCAAGAAGACAGACCCCTTGCCCACTGTCGCTCGATGGTGCCCAGATTCACAGGACCTTGTAGAGGCTGCAGTGAGAACATTGGTGCTGAGCCCAGCTCTGCGCATGCATTTCCTGTGGGGCAGCACTGATCTGCTCTGGCGGAGAGGTGGGGGCCAGAAAGGGAATCAGGTCTGGTCGTGAGGAGCCCACATTCTGGGGGCCAAGACGAAGTGACTGCGACAGACACGGGCGTGGGGCCTGGTGCGTGCGAGGGGCTGTGGGCTGGTGAAGGGCCCTTCCTCTGACCCACTCTTTCCCAGGTGGTTTTGGGGATGTAGGCGGGAGGAGCTCTGCCTCTTCCTCAAGTTGGGTGAAGGTGGCTAAAGGGACCCTGCTATTGGCTCGGTCCTGTCTGCCATGGCGCCTGCTCAGAATTTACTGTGCAGTCTCAAATGTTTAATGCTTTTTTTAGTTTTAAAAATAATTATGTGTATTTTTCCCCCACTAAAATATATGTGCTGTTTAGAAAAATCTGGAAAAAGCTGAATGGGGAAAAAATGAACAAGAACTTTTTTAAACATTTGGTATGTTTGTTAGACATTCAGTGTGTTTGCTTTCAGAGCTCTTATGGGCATTCACTTTACTTTGTTTTTAGGTTTGGTTTGGACGTTTCTTACGTTGATGTTGTCATACTACTTCCTTTCCCACAAATACAAGCATTTTCATTCGTACGCCATCTTTGTAAATATTCATTTGATTGCATCATGTGACACACGGGCTTTTGTAAACAGTGTCCTTGTCTCTGACCTGCTCTTGTCCCACAGTCGGGGACAGGGCGCTGGTGCCCGGAGGGGTGAGAGTGTGGCAGACGGGGCTACGGCTGGTGCTCTGTGAGTTGTGTAGTGGTTTCAGGATGGGAAGGTGCTAGACCCCTCTCCATGCTGGGAGTACGTGAGCCTGTCCTCCAGTAGTCTTGCCCAGAATACAGCCTTGGAGAGACTCAAAGGTGGGGGAGACCACATGATAGAAATATTCCTATGCCATCTTACCTGCCGCAGTGAGAACCAGGACTCTGGATAATGGATTAGTAAAAATATCTAACTTATAACTATATGTACTCTGTTATATCTGGTGTAAAAACTGGGTAAGAAAATGCAACCATGAAACTGGTTGCTGTGCCTGGGCTGTAGGGTGTAGGATGGGCTCACTGGTGAGTTCCATTAACGTTGAGGCAGTCATCACCAACTTGAAATACTAACTTCCTCATACGTCTCATTTAGGGTTGACGGGGACGGGAAATGCTACACAGGAGTCCTGTGTGGTTTGGGGTGGAACCCCACCACAGGGGCACCCATTCTGCCGGAGCATGACATGGAGCTTGCCTTCGACGTTCAGTTCAGCGTGGAGGATGTTGTGGAGGTGAGGCCGCATGTTCCTCTCTGGCAGCGGGTCTTGCTCACTCATCATGTTCTGCTTGGACACCACGTAATGACGAGTGCAGTATCTGCCATGGAGCTTTAGCCACAGCGTGGCCCTTGGAGCTGGAGGTGTCCATGTCTCTCGCCTGCCTATGTTACCGAGCTCTGCTGTGCCAGGATCTGCGCCCTGGATTCTTGTCAGGGTCTCCTGGCACAGGAAGCTTTCCTGGGTGACAGATTGAACCCCAGGCGCTGTGAGTCTGTCCCAGTCCCCTTCCAAGGCAGGCTGAGATTCAGGTTAAGACAGAGGAGTAGGAAGTGTGTTTAATTAAACAGTAAAAATCTTTCTTTCTGATTTTTAATTTTCCTTTTGTTGCTGTTAAGTTATGACAGTGGTTATTGATGTGACTCGTGTTGTGTTAATACTCTGCTCCAAGACCATATGGATGGAAGCCGAGAGCTCCAAGAGTTTCTGAATGACTTAAACATGGAGTGAATCAGTTATAGTTGAGCCATATGAGTGTTTCTGTTGCCGTTTGCAGATCAATATTCTCAGGGCCTCTATTAACAAGCTGGTGTGTGATGGGCCAAATGGGTCTCGGTACCTTGGGCCAGAGAGAATCGCGCAGTTACAGGACAGTGTTCGCCAGAAACTCCTGGGGTGAGTGCTGTGACGTGGGCTCCTCCCCTCCCCTCAGCCTTCTAGCTGTCGGGACCCTGTTTCAAGTTGTGGGGGACGTGGTAGACTGATGGTTGAAGTGGCCTCCAGGTCCTGAGGCAGTGTCCAGGAGGTGCTTGGTGTCAGCACCAGCTACTGTGGAGTAGTCACCTATAACCTGTGTTTCAGCAGGACCCGAGCAGGAGCTGGGGAGGACCCTCACGTGGGGTAATTTGAGAAAAATGGAACAGAGGGACCCTTTCAAGGAGTGCGGGCAGGGCATGGGAGCAACCAGGGTTACTGTGCCTACTGTCATCAGCGGGTCCCTAAGGGACCAAGGGAGGGAGAGACCTGCAGGCTGAGCGTTTGCCTCTGTAGAGCCTCCCCCGGGGAAGGAGGTCGGGGATGAGCATCCTGACCACCTCCTCACCACTGGCTGGACCCCCATGGCCAAACCCCACTGGATTCTGAGGGCGCGAGGCACCATTGGAGCAGCCATGAGCCTTCAGCCTGGGTGACATACAGGAGGTGGGAGTGGGTGGTGGGGAGGGGCAAGCAGGCTTCCCCCAGGCCCGTGCTCCTGCCTTACACAGCTTCCCTCTCACAGCTCCCAGGCTGGTGGCAGGTCCCTCGGGCTGAGACGGCGTCCTGAGCTGCTGGGGCTTGGGTTGTGCACCAGCAGGGGGTGTCTGATCTCATTTGGGTGGATTTCTCCTAGTTGTATAAGCCCTTTAAAGGGTAGTCAGTGTACGGAGCTGTCTTAGCAGTTGTGGGAAAGGTTGATTTTAGTTTTGTCTCCTCACTTTTCTTCATGTGCATGCTTCTGCATAAACGTGGTTTTGACATTTAACACCTCAAAGGTGAAGGTGACCTGTTAGGTGCACGGGTCACGTCCGTGTCTGCACAGAGTGAACGGGCACAAGCCTGGCACCTGGGCAGAACTGGTGGTGTTCCTACTGGTCATGGCTGCCCAGAGCTAACTCAGGAGGGGCGCCCGCACGTGGTGGAGGGACCTGGGGGGTGGGTTGGCCTTGGAGACCTGCCCATGACCTGGCGGTCCTGCTCCAAATGCCAGTGGTTAGAATGTCCTCTGGTCACAACTGGACTGCATTCTGACCTTTTATTTACTTTTTTAAAAAAAATACATCTTTATTGATTTCAGAGAGAGAAAGGGAGACAAGAGAGAGAAATATTAGTGATTAGAGAGAGTCATTGATCGGCTGCCTCCTGCACGCCCCCTACTGGGGATCGAGCCCGTAACCCGGGCATGTGCCCTGACCAGGAATCGAACCCCGATCTCCTGGATCCTAGGTCGATGCTCAACTGCTGAGCCACGCCAGTTGGGCTACACTTTTAAACTCAGTGTAGTTACAGTTCTGAGGGACGGTGCACAGGATTAACTCTTCTTAAGAAAATTACAGTGGTGTTTCAGTTACTATAACACAGCATTAGGTGACTTAATTCTCTTTTTTAACTTTTAGTTTGTTCTGTCAGTTGAAACCGAGAGAGAGAATTGTCCCTAAGTGGCCTGAGAAGCCGTATGAGTGGAACCAGGTGAGTGAATCGTGGGACGTGTTGTGAGCAGCTGGCCACCAGCAGCCCCAGGGAAACAGACCACTTGGGAGCTCTGCACAGGGTCTGGAGGATGCTGGGAGCAGGCGGGGCTGTAGGCAAGGGGCCTCTGCTGGGTAATGAGGACAGCACAGGTCACAGACCTGCAGCCTTTCTGGATGGGACACTCCGGGTGGTGCCCCAGGGAGCACCAGGCCCTGGTCTCGCCCTGGGGCTCTGGCTGAAACAGGAAGTCCGGGCCATGTTGGGGTACACTGGCTGGCATCTCTGTACACTGGCTCGCGCTATCATAGCCACAGTCCTTCCATGGGGCTCACCAGCAGACATTTTTTTTTCTCATAATCTTAGAGACTGGGAGTTGGAAATGAGGGTGCCAGTGTGGTCAGGCTCTGGTAAGGACTCTGCTCCTGGCAGTGGACGGCCACTGTTGTGCTCTGTGGCAGGGAGAGAGCTCTGGTCTCTTCCTCTTCTTATATGGGCCCTCACCCCGTCCTGGGGTCCCACCTGCACAACCTTGTCCAGCCCTGGTCACCTCCTGGCATCATCTGGTTGGGTTCAGGGATTTGGCAAGTGAACCTGGGGCCCAGCTCAGCTGGCAGCCTTGCGGACTAGGCAGAGCCCACTCTGGCACCTTGGCATCTCCTATTTGCAAGGTTAGAAAATGGAATAAAATGTGGTTTCAGGGAAAGGAACCAGGGAGGAATTTTAAGCTTTAATTTTGGAGCTGGATGTCTTGATAAAGCAGCTGACCAGTCCCTCATCCTCTGGCAAGTTAATGAGGAGTGTCTCCCATCCAAGTCCTCTGACCTGCCTTCTCTCCGCATGCCCTCAGCTGGTCTCCCTCAGCAGAGCCCTCGGGAACAGTCCCCTTGCTCAAGCCAGTTCTGCTGTGACAGGGCTCTGTGGGTGACCCAGGCAGGGCCCAGCCACCTCCTTCAGGCTCCCAGTGTGTGAAGCTCAGCAGAGTTTCATTTTGAGCTTGTTCAACATTTTAGAAAACATACTGCTTTGTGTGCCTGTAATGAAGTCACTGTCATGTCTCCACGTAAGGAAGGTGTGCGGGTTCCCGAGTAAGTGAATTTGAAGATGGATGATCACATCTATAGGGTTGACTGTTGTCAGAGTAGAGAGCGCTCTGTAAACATTTTTTGGAAAAATCCAGGACTATTTCGTGTTACCTTTCATGTCTTACTCCTCCGTCCTGTTTTACTTTATGCCGATGCCGAGCCTGACAGGTCCTTTTGTGCCCACAGGTGGACCCAAAGCTGGTTATGGAGCAGGCGGACCGGGAGGGCGGCAGAGGGAAGAACACCTTCCTGTACCAGCTGCACAGACTGATCGTGCTCAGCTCCTAGCTGCCGGCCCCACGGCAGCCGAGGGGCAAAGCCGGCTGCACACACGCCGTGTCCACGCTGCACTGAGGCGTCTCCGCCTGGCTCCTTCTCTTCACAGGTGGTGGACAGTGGACTTTCTGTTCGGTGGGAAGGGTGGGAAGCCTCACCTTCTGTAGAAACAAAGTCACTGTGGGAGACGTTGGGGAATAGTCCTGAAAGACGCACTCGGACAAAGAGCCGTATTTTGCTTTAAACTGGCTAAGGGAAAGCTTGGTGCCCACATGCTCCCCTGTTCTGTTCCTTATGGTGATTTTGCCCCTGTCCCCTCCCCCACTCTACCACATGGCAGAAACCGTTTCTCAAAACCATGTGGAATTTTCTGGTTCTTTTTCCATGAGGGAAAATACCTAATTTTGGTAAAAGTAACTTTAGTTTGTATGTTTTAGGTTTTTATTTAAATTACAATTCTTAGTCCACATTTTGGAGATCAGAGATTACCTGGCAACAAGTATATCTGTTAAGACAATAAAAGCATTAGACTAAATTTCTGTTTCTGACAGTTTTTAATCAGGAGAGAGAAGTGTATTTTATCCTTAAAAAGTCCAGATTTTTAAAACCAATAAAGGATTATAGATTTTTTATTTTTATTTATTTTTAAAAATATGTCTGTATTGATTTCAGAGAGAGGAAGGGAGAGAGAGAGGGGAATCGTACCAATGACCTCTTGGTTCATAGGTCGACGCTCCTAGACTTTTTTTAAAAGTCAGCTCCTGTTGGAAGAACAGAGCCCTGTAACCATGGTGATGAGAGAGGCATGCTGGTTCTTAC